TTAAAGTATCTAAGTATTTAATTCTTAAAGCAATATTAAAATTAGAAATCTTTTACTAGCAACGTGAAGACCAACGAAAATGACCAGGAAGATGCCTAAAGGATCTTATCTTCTTGGTAAACAAATGATCTTTTTGGCTTTCTTCTTTTAGATAATGAAAAGATAAAGTATTTTGTAAGAACAACAATCAACCCAAAGTTCATTAATCCATTATATTGAATTATTTAACTTATCTTAAGTAGTCATGCTCAAGCTCCCAAAAGTAAATTGAACAGAAAATTAAAGATTTCTCCATAGACAAAAACTTTATCAGGTAAACTTCAAAGAAAGACCTTTACCTGATGAGTGATCCTCATTAGAAGGATATCTGAAGTAGGGACCAAAACAGAACAACTATCTGCTAATTTATGCATCATATACAGAAAGCCCTTATACCGTTGTCGAGCTGCTATCAGATACACAATCTCTGAATAGTAAGGCTCAGAAAATTTTGTGCATAAATAATTTCTTTGTTTGGATACTTCTTTCAGCAGTTCTTCATGAACAGTGGAAACTGGTTTCTGCAAATTGGAGTCATCAAATTCATTCTCAAAAGGCTCTGTTGGATATCTGTGAACCCAAATTTCTTTGCATCTGTTTAATGCATATTCTCCATTTTCTTCATTGAAAATAGCTGCCTTTCCAATAAGTTTAGAGAATCTTGATTCACAATATTGTCTGTAACTTACCTGAATTGAAAATCAATTAGGTATGTGTATGTAATTTTACTCTTTCATGAACTAGAAGCAAAAAAAATCATATGGTAAAAATGACACCTTTTCTTTTGTTTTCGAATATTTTCTCATAAACCAAGTAAAATTAAGTATACTATTTTCATTATTTCTTACCGAATTTAAGGTGTGACAGTACCAAACCCATTCAATATCAAAAGGAGGAAGAATCATTGGAGGGTTTGACCCATTAGAAAGATCAGATATCAATGGCATCCATAGCTGATCATACCTGCCAAAAAAAAAATCATCATCAAGATTTCCAGGACTCACAAGAACAAAGAAAACAGGAATAGCAAGACGAAAAAGTGTAATGATAAACCTTCTAATAGATTCAAGAATGGTGGGTCTTTCTTGAAGCCATTGAGACTCTGTTACAAGTCTCAAGAACCCAAGATTTCGTCTTGCAGCAGCTACAAGATCGATACTCAACCGTACAGTTTCTTCCTCAGAAATTTCACTTAGACTTCTCATGGAAGCAACATCCGAAGTTGACATTCTTGATTCTTGGAGATTTTTCAAGATTCTGCTAGACTGCTCTGTACATGAAGTTCTTTAGAGTAAGTTCTTTCTTAAGAAAAAACAAAACATGTGTTTTAGGTGAAGAAGAAGGTTAATAGTTGCTCCTCATCAATCAAACATACAAATGGAAAAATGTCTACGGTGGCAATTAGAGTACTATGTTTTTTGTTTTATGAAGAATGGGCAGCCATTTATAATGAGAAACGTGGAATGTAAGCTTTTAACTTTTCATGTTCCAAAGAACACTGTTGTTGGCTGAGACCACTAGCTACTCTTGTTGATTTGCCTGTGTTTTCATAGGACGACGAATAAAATATCTTTTAACCTTACATTACGTGTTTTGATACAAATATGGATAATGATTTGAATTAGTAATATATAGATTGTAAAATTGCTTTGATTCATTGTTTACTATTTAATCTTTTTGTTGATTTAAATTTATTTCATATTATTGGGTGAAGGTAGATAATCGTTATTAATTTTGAGGTGTCATAGATCCTTGCTGGTACGATATTTTTTAACTTTTTCTTGATCAAACATATCTTAAATTTAACAAATATTCAAGGCTATTAAAATTGTTCAATACTAAAGCTTATTTTTAAAAAAAAAAAAGTTCAAGTGATTAATAGACGAGCATTGAATGAAAAAATCAAAAGAAATGGAGAAAAAATATAAGTAAATTCATCAAACTACAAAAAACGAATTTAAAAAATTAAAAATAACATTTATAACTATATATTTTAAGTATGAATAAAAAGGAAATCAAATTGCAAAAGAAATATGGGATGATTTAATCATCTAGGGTCTTACCCAAAAATTATTAAAATTTGGATTAGTTATTTCTCGATTTTCTAAAGATAAAATAAGATCATGTTTGGTGTATAATCAATTTATGAATTGAATTAAATTAAATAGAGTAATCAAATAATGTATTAAATGGATTATATTTTAATATATGAACTATTCGAATTAATTATGCCTACCAAACTAGTCCTTAATACATGCTCCCTGGTTTTTCTAAAAAAAAAATTAGTTTGATTACATTTTCTTTAAAAAAATAATTTTATAATTTTATATTAATGTTATATCAAATTAATTAAAAATATTATTTTATTGTTATGACCTTAAACATATTGATGTGTAAAATTGAAATTAAAAAACAATTAAAAAATGATTATTTAATTAAAAACAAAAATAGATCAATTATTTTTTAAAAAAATAAATAAAGAGAGTAATATTCAAACTTACCACGATATATACATTCGCACTAAGTCTTGTGTTTCAATTGAATACTTTATTTTTAATAAAATATTATATAATTAAATACTTTATATTATAATTAAATACTATTCTCGTCTTTTATTAGGTAGCTAATCTAATCCTCTAAAATGTGTCTCTCTTTTATTATTTATACATATTTATCTCAATAAATTGAAAATTTTAGATATTGTATACGTAAGGTTGATATGTATAATTAAAGAATATGATATATTTTATGTGGTTAACTTAATTATCTTATACATAAAAGAAATATGTGTATTTTTTTTTAAATTTAAACTAAAAATATCTCATTAAAATACTTTATTAGAAATTGAGGTGTATAATCGGAAAGTAATTATTTACTAAGCCTTTGTTTTACAGCAATCTAATATTGCACAATGGTATTTTTGGATGCCAATTTCTTATGTTAAACTCTTTGTACTTGTTTTTCCTATTAAAACATAATCTAAACTTCCAAAAGATTCAATTCCTCCACCATAATAGTTACTCCTTTGTTCCCTAAACAAAAGTAAAAATACAAAATTCTACCTAAATCCAATATTAATCTTATCTACTTATACTTATTCATTGAACTACAACTACTCCAAAAAAAAATTATAATATGGATTAATAAGCCTTTATTGTACTTTTTCTTCCTTAAGTCATTCAAGATATTATAAATCTTTAAAGAAAAATTATTTCACGTTATCTTAATCAAATAATGTCACACTAAGTAGCACATAATTAAATAATAACATGTGATATTCTCTTGACAACATAAAGTGAACTCTTGCTCCATTTTGGCATAAAATAAAGCCATAGAAATTAAATCCTCCAGAATAAGAAACAAAAGTGTGTTGGCTGAACACATGGTGTGCATTCTTTTTCAAAGCCATGATTAGGTGAACAGCAAGCACTATCTATGTATTTGTGTTGTTGCACTTTGCATGTATTAGAATGTCACATATAATTATTTTTAGTACATGTCACATTATACCTCCAATCAACTATGTGGTGGTCCATTCCACTTCGAATATAATCAAATAATGTTCCATTAAACTGGCCACGTTGATCAACACCAGTCCCATCGATCAACTTTGTTTCGTAGTCCAGTAATTTAATGACATTTTTGTGTGTTGTATAATCGATTTTCTTCTTTTAGAAAGTATCTTTCTAAGATTGGATAGAATTATAACTTTGACGTATCACAACATTATTTGGTTATACCTGGCATAAATTATTAGGCTTTCTCTTTTAGTTTAGGTATGAAATTTACAAAATAGATATTGTTCAGAGGTTCTATTAAAATAATTTTTTAACCTCACAATGTATTCATGTACATGCTTTTACTTTCTTCAAATATAAATTGTTATTTTAAAGATGTCCATTAAGTGAATAACGAAAACGAAATAATTATAGTTATATATAACTATATGCTTGTCTACTTGTTCTCAATTTATCAAAGGGATATCAATCCTACGTACGACTTTGAATCAAATTCTTTTGTTTTCCTAATTTCACTCAAGGAATATCAATCCCTAAAATTAGGGATGTAATTATATTATTTTAATGTTTTTTATTTAGAGGAAATATTAATTAAAATATTTATTTTTAATAGCGTAATTTTAGTTAAGAAAATTATACATTAAAATAATTATTCGTTATCTAGTCAAAATCCTTTAACATAATTAGCAAAAATAACTATTAAAAGTAGCAATATTTTAGTTGTATAGCAAAATGTATTATATATAATTAATTTACTTTTCTTTTATTTCTCAAATCAGTCCCACGACTCATTTTTACCTCAATACCACCCAAAAAGTTGAAAAAAAAAATTCAATACCCATGTTTCCCTAGTTCTAGTTTTGTACCTCAAATCCCTCATTTCTCTTTCTTGGCTTTTTTTCACCATTTTTCTCTTCTTACGTTGTCTAAGAAAATCATTTCTTCGAAATCCTTCTACTTTATTTAAGAAATCTATAATACATTATCACCAAGTATTTTTTGAAATTTTGCTCTTTTACGTAGTTCAAAGTTTTCATCTTTTGAACAGTAATGTTTGATTTTTCTTTGATTTGTTTTGATATTCAAAATATAGCAGATTTATGTATTATTCAAGAATTGCTCAAAAATCGAGAGGTGAAGATGCTTATGAACAAGTTAAAAGTTCAAACTAATGAAGAATGAATTTTCCGCCTGAACGCCCGTCAAAGCGACGAAGTAGAATTAAATTATGTTTCACAAAATTCTTTGAAAATATTTTGAATGTTCTCTAATTGTATTGATTTTCAAATTGAATCAGTACATTAGATATCCCAATTTAATTGTATCCATTTTTCAGAATGCATTTATATATTGATCTACCTACAAAAGCTCCACATTTTTTTCTATATATTGTTTCAAGTCTGGATAAATTTCATGATTGTTTGCTAAATAAACTTTCGAGAATGCTCCCTCAGATAAATAACTTAAAGCTTTTCTTCAGAAAAAATATTCAGAATTAGCATGGTCATTTTTACATCACAGGGAACAAACCTAATTCTCCAGATTGAAAATTTACAAAAGAAATTACTAGTAATACAAAACTTGATATTGATTTTGAATTGAGAGAATCAATAAAGAAACGGCAAAGCTCAGATGTATGTGTTGGAAACGGAGTATATTCCTAGACCTTCAACATAAGGTCTCATAATGAGCTGGGAAAAATGTATCATCATCGCAAAATTGCCTCTGATTTTAGACAACCAACAAAATATAAAACAAACAAAAAATTGACACATAATCTTGTATTGAATTCAGAACAGTAGAGAAAATGAAGGCGAAGCTCAGATATATGTGTTGGAAACAAAGTTTAATCCAAGACCTTAATTATAAGGCCTCATAGAGCTGGGATTAATGTCAGCGTCATAGCAATCGCCACTGTATTTCAACCAAAAAGAAGCCATAACATAGCAAAAGGAAAGGCAAAGCTCAGTTATATATATGTTGGAAACCAAGTTTAATCCAAGACCAAGGTCTCATAGAGCTGGGATTAAGGTAAACATCATTGCAATTGCCAAATTTAAACATAATTGACTAAACAGAATCCAAAAGGAAGCAAATAAAATAAACACATCATATTGATTTTGCATTAAGATAATCAATTAAGAAACGAAAGGCGAAGCTCAGATATATATGTTGGAAAATGAGTATATTCCCGGACCTTAAATATAAGATCTCATAATGAGCTGGGAAATGTTATCATCATTGCAATCGCCCAGTTTATGTAACGATAATAAAACAACAAAATAGACTAAAAAGAAACAAGATCTACCGGAACTATATCGGAGGGCTGCAGAGGCAGTTGTAGCGATGGAACAAGGAGGAGGCAACTGATTTAAATAGATTGGGGCTAGGGTTTCACTGAAGTTCAGCTGTGCTTTCTTGGGCCTTCTACATTTCTATACGGGCTCAAAGAGGACAAAAACCCATGTAATCCAAAGTTGGGTTGACTTGGAGCCCATTTGGATTGACTTTTAAAAAAAAAACTTTTAAAAAGTATTTTTAAAAGGAAAATTTTCATATATGACAAATGGATTTTATGAAATTACATTTCATGCGTATAGTGTAGTTTGTTAGGTGACTTTAAATTTGTATAAAATGCTTTTTTTAATTAAATTTATACAAAAAAAATATTTTTTCAATAAAGGATAACAATAGCACAAAAGATGATAATAATAAATTCATATAATTCCATGAATTAAACAAATCATTCAAAATCAAATATTTTCCCAAAAAAAAAATTCTAAAGCTATAGAATATATATATATATATATATATATATATATATATAAATAAATAAATAAATTGATTATATTGTATGTATTTGAGAAATTGTATATAATTTTTATACAATATTTGTGTGTAATTGATTTTGTGTTTTAACTGTATATGACCATCATAATATGTATTATTTTAATTTTTTTGGATAATCTGTTTATATATAATATTTTAATATGTTTGTATTATTTTTTTGTATATATTAAGGAATTTGTATATATGTACAATAATTTTGGTATATATATTATAGTTATATTTGTGCATTTGTGATTTCATGTTTTTTTTAAAAATATATCTATTAATGATTAAACTGATTGTATAATATTCGTTTTTTAATTGTATATATAGTAAGCTTGAAATCTGTCTGTATATTTGAGTGTTTAACGTTTGTATATACAATATTTTATTATTTTCATATATCGACGAATTTGTATAATATTTTATAATTTTGTATATGTATAATAGATTGATTTTAACAAATTTATTTTATACAAAATTAAATAATTGTATACAAATAGCTATTGCCTCGTAAGACTTTGTAAGTGTTACCTTAATATACAACCCACTATATACCTAACTTTAGTAATTGGTATACAACTAATAGAATATACAATTAGGAACTGTCTCATAATACTTTTTATATGTTATCTTAATATACAACCAACTATATATATAACTTTGTAATTTTATATAAATTACACTACCTGATGTTTCCAATATTCTTCAGATTTGTCAAGTTCTGATGAGGCAGATCAAATCTCCACTGAATCAATGTTTAAGACTTTTTTCTTACTTCCATCTTCAACAATCTTAATGTCGCTAGATTTCGCATTGTTGATGACTTTATGAATTGTCGTTAGGTCATTTTTTTTCATGGATCTTAATTCTTCAATAGATTGTTCAACTTGATCTTGTTTATGTTTTGCCATAAACCTACATTGATCCCAAAATCCTGAGTTAACCCAATTAAAACGAAGGTGGATTAACAACAACGTTGACATGCAATGTCATACCTTTCATAATCCTCATAGATGGGAGAAATCAACTATTATGATTTTGAAAGACTTGTAATCTGATAAGTAATAAAGATTTTTTTAAAAATATATGAAAAAACTAACAATCATACTACATATACAATTATTGAAGAAGGAATCAAGAAAAAAAGATATTGAAAGCCATGAATTTGGCGGTTACCTGCGAAAAGTGAAAGAACATCGGAGGGAGAAGGTCAAAATTTTCCAAATCGAAATTCAAGTTTGAAGGGAAGAGTAATTTTAGGATAAAGTTATGGAATGAGAATAGGTGAAATAAATTTGATCTTGAATAAAATTATATAAAAATCTTTGATGACTATTTTTATCCTGTATCAATAGGTAGTGGATTCCATTAATTATGGTAAAAAAATTAAAACTGTATTTACTGACTGTAAATAAATTAAATTATACCATTATTAACTAATTATATAGGAATGTTTGTCATTCCATGTAAAAAAAATTGAAATTGTATTTTTATGTGTTTTTATAAAAGTATTGCAGTTTTAAAAAAAATTGTTGATGTGTTTGGCAAATAAATGTTGGTAAACATTTTTTTTTATCAAAATGTTTGAAATACCCTTAAAGTTGTTAACATGGTAAAAAGTTGATTAATTTAAGATTTTTATACTTAAAAAATTTAAATCAAAATTAATTTATATTTTACATCCATAAGTAATAATATTTTCTATTATTTACATATTTCTTTATTATCACAAATTAATAATAATAATCATTATAATAATAATAATTATAATAATAAATAATAATTACAATAATAATGATAATAATAATAATAACAACAACAGTAATAATAATAATAAAAAAATAACAATAATAATAATTAAAATAACAAAAATAACAATAATAATAACAATATTAAAAAAAAGAATTAAGAGCAAAAATGTAATATTTAGTCAACATAAAATGACTTTTAAGTTGAAAAAATAAAAACCCTCCCCTAAGTTTTTAGTGTTTGATAAGTCAATTTTTACTTAAAATAAGTCACTTTAGTAATTGTTAGACAATCCAATAAATCAAAAACTGACTTTTAAATCAGTTTAATCAGCTTTTAAGCCCATCCAAACATGCTCTTACTTATACATGTACCAATTGCACGTAGTAGCCAATTTATACTTACATTCAAAAAAAAAATTCCTACTAAATATGTAGAAAAATTGACAAACTTCTTCTTCAAAAGATCTGTTAATATAGGAGCTATTGCGATCAACCGATGTAATTGTTCTTGTTTCAATAGTTTAAGTCAATTATAATTTCTGAACGGCTAAATCAATGATAATTCGTCTATGACTTAAATAATTGTCCTTAAATTAGATATATACCCAACTTTTGGGGTTAGCTTCGATACACATAAGTGAAAAAATTTCAATAAGAGAGAAGAAACAAAGTTAGTTAATAAATTAGTTTAGGTCTTAGCTCAATGCCCTCAATAATAAGGCCTCCTTTAAGGTGTTCACCTTTAATTTCTCTAAGGCACATTGTAACTTGTTGATCATTGACTCCATCACAGTAAAATTCACCCAATTTAATCTCCAACCATCCATCATCTCTTTCACATAAAACATGCTCTTGGCCTCCTGATCTATCAACTCTTGATCTCAATGTCTCTACCCTGTGTCTCATTATCACCATTTCGAATTCCTGTTTCCTCTTGTTGTCATTGTTATGTCGTAGATATACTATTCCTTTCGATTCGTGGTCACCTACTTTGACAGAGACCTCTGATGGCAAAGAGTCTAAGCCGAAAGCACGACCAGCGAGATTGACAATGAGGTAAGCTCCATATGTTGTACGAGGAGACAACATTCGAGTGTTTATTTTTCCTTTTATTTCTAGCCAACATACCATAATAAGCTCCACCCCTTCTGGAAATCTGTTGGAACACACAGAATTGGATCAACTATTGCACGACCAAAATTGAATAGCATAAATGCCAGTTGGAGTCAAATTAACCGAAAACATATGTATTATGGCTATATTACATCGATTTGGTCCTCTAGTATACCATCAAGTCATGTTCATGTCACAACATTTTAGCTTGATCATGAAAATTAAAATGATTATTTTAATCTTGTAGCTGTAATTGTGAGAACTACTCCATATAGAATTGTTTAAGTCCTTTTCAATATCTAATAGTGATGTGAACTGATATTTTGTCAATTAAAAAAAAAACTAATATCTGGGATTGCGTAGTCATCTAGGAGTAAACTTATATCTATAATCATTTTATTAACAAATCTACTCATTAGAAATTTGCACTTTTGCAACAAATATAGAAAAGCAAAAGGAAAAAACAACTACTCCTTCCGTCTCAATCTCGATTCATGTGATGTAATTTTAATGAACAAAAAATGAATCATGGTACAAATTAGGAAGAAGGAATTCTATGATACCTTGAGTGAAGGAGGGGTTTCCAACACCAGTAAAGAGGATTGGTGGACCAAGTAATTGATAGCTCCCTTGCACTCAACATATAACACTTTTTACTTGTTCTCCTGTCTATTGAAAAGCTCTGGAAAATATATGTTTCAACACAAATAAGAAAAATGAGATCAGGACACGCTCAATATAAAAATTTGTTTTCTAAGTAAGTAAGCAGGACATATTATTCCTATAAGTCATCACGTTAGGCACATACCTTGCTACCACCATCAATGAGAAGAGGTTTAAATAGCTTAAGAAACAAGTCTTTCTTTGACGAAAAGGCAATTGGCAACACGAATCTTTCGATGATTTCGCGATAATCAAAGGGCAAGAATTTCTCCCATAACAAGTCCGATAGGGCTGCATCACGAACCATAGTCGAAACCAAAGACAATTGAGAAGCATCATGAGGAGATGTGAACAATAGGATTTGAACAATACAATCTTCTGGCAAGAGGTCTAATTTCATCTCTCTATTATCTGCCATCGTGAGAATTTTTGAGTGTATAATTTAAAACTTAGAAATTAAATAATGGAGGTACGTAATGAGAGATTATAAGTGCAAAAAATTGCTATAGCTTTCTACAAGATGACGACATGTAATTAACATATGAGGACATGGACTCCGAAAAACACACGATGACAAATTTATTATAATTCTAACTTGTCAGATTTGGCCACATGAGATTGACAAAATAAAAAATTCCATCATTTCTAGAAATTATTAAAACAAAAAAAAATTATTTAAAAAATAAATTATAGTTCAATAAACAAAATATCAGAATATCACTAGGTGTCATATTAGCAAATCACATATATATGTGTTTTGTATACAAATAAATATTTACAATTAATTACATGTTAGTTGTAAACTCATATGTGCTTTGCCCGAACATAATAAACATCGTTTTAAATTACGAAATTATTTCTCTATAATTATGAAATTTAAATTATTTTTCTATTTAATTACTGTATAAATTTGTCAAATTATATAGCCAACAGATGCCAACGTTAAATAATGAAAATTTTGTTTGTATTTCTAAGCTCTAACAAAGTTTAACAACACATAATTTGGGTTGGCAAAGTTAGTCAATTAGATACCAGTAGAGTGGGTAACCTGAGTCTTTAGGCATGGGCAAAATGCAAATCTAACTATATATACTAGATAGAATTAGCCCGTGCAAGCACGAGCCAAACAATGATCACAACATCTTTTTATTTTTATAATTAAAATTTAAATTCGAATCTTCTAAGTTCTAATTAAGAAAGAAATAATTTTATTCACTACATCACATTCTTTGATAGCATAACAAACTTTTTTCATAAAATTATATCAAAGAAACCTGAAATATTTAGTTAATATTTTTTCATCTAGGTAGAAGTCTCAATCTAAAAATTTTTATCGCATAATCTCAATTAATTCACACATGAAAATCTTTTCTTTGATGTAGTAGAAAATTAGAGCTTAGGATTAGAAAAATTAAAATTTAATATTTAGTCTTGAAATACAAATATACATTATATATGTAATATATATGAAAGATTGAAAATATCAACAAATAAAATACACATGGCATGGAATAAAAAAGAAAAACGTCAATTTTTATAATAAAAAGGAAAAATGACTTTTAAAGCAGAATTATACTATATATTTTTCACCTAAAAATTTGCTAGACCAATCTAAAAAGAAGAAAAAAGAACATCTAATCTAAAGCAAACAAAATCCAAAACTCTAACGTGATCATGTGTTTTTTTGTGGAAATACAGGTCATGTTGAATAAATTACATATACAAATTTTAAAGATAAAATATTAAAATATTGATACCATTTGTTATCTCATTCTTCTAATATAGTAGAAAAGTAGAAAAATATGTTGGTATCGTAATGCTGTATAATTAACTAATTACTCAATATTAGTTTGGTTGATTTAAAAAAGTCAACTTAATTGGTTTAATTTATTTTCAAGCAAGTCAAATCACACTTTGATTTTTTTTTTCAGCCCAAAACTGCCATATATTAATTCATGCTGGACATAAAAATTGAGAACTCAGCTACATATTCCAACCGCATCTTTAACAAGAAGGAAATTGGGTTGGCAAAACTAATGAGTAGTCAGTAATTGCTAATTAGGCACAAAGTGGTCTACCTGATTCTTTAGGCAATAAATAGTATATATTTAGAAAATAGTAAAATTTTGCAAAAGCCATGTTATTAGTCGATTACCGACGGAAGCATTCGTTATTTTGACTTAAACCGATCCAAAATTGATGGACTAAAAAAATACTTCTTAAGAAAAATAAGAGTAGAAGCCACTTGATCTTTGTAGAAAGAGATTAACTTATATCCACTCAATAGTGGACTAGAAAAATTTAGAAATATTTATTTCCTTTAATTTAATTATCATGTTTTCATATTTAAAGATTAATGATTCTTTTAACTTCTTTTTTTTTTTAAGACCCTTGATAAATTTAAGATTGCTTTGAATTAATGTTCAAATATATTTTATACTTTTGACTTTGAGTATTACTTAAATAAATTGAAATACATATGAAGGTATATGGATCAAAGTTTATTTTCAATTAATTTTTGTATTGTCGATAAAATGAACTAAGAAGAAAAAAGTTGAAGCAATGAAAGCATCTATCCAAAAACTTTTTCATGTTAAAAAGAAGACTTAATAAGTTATGCATAATTTTTTTATGAAATCAACTAGTCTAGATTTTAAAAAGAAAAAAAATAAAAAGTTACTATTGATGTTGATGGGAACTGGGGTAAAAATAATGAATACAAGAAAACGGTGCAAAATATCTTCTTATCTTTGGTAATCAATAATAAATCTAAACAAACTCATATAACTAATTTAGAGTTCAAGTTATTATATAATACTTTTTTTTATTATTTAAATATTAATAATAAGTAATATATTTTATAAAATAAATATTTCTAAAAATGAGTCGATAGTGTAATTTTTCGTCCACTCTCGATGAATATAAATTTTGAACTCAAATATTTACCACGAGTCATGACATTAAACAATGTTACTTCACTAAACCACACATACTACATTTGAGGATCTGCACAGAACAACTTCAAAAAAGAAATTCAAAAATATAGAATTTTATTCATTTATTATATTAAGATTAAGATGTCTGAATCTAAATACACATCTGAATATTAAGATTTAAGCGTTTTGATTTAAATACATATTTGAATATTAAGATGTGGTTTTTAAATCTTAACACTAAATAATTAATGTTGTTTATTTTCAATCTCTCAATATAAAATTTTAATTTCAACAAAATATATCACTTTTGGTTAAAAAAAAGTTTTAATAATCATGATTAGGAGTACTATTTTTCATTCAAAAATCTTGATAAACAACAATACATCAAAAATATTATTGCAACCAATGTTCTTACATACATCAATATAAGAAAATTATTAATATAAAAAAAATACTTGAAAGGATTTATGAAAACTTATCAATTGGAAAAAAAAATGGTGTTTGATTGAGAAAAAAAAAGAAAAAAAATATTTAGTTATGACATAAAAAAGACACGTCCCAAAGTAGAGAAGCTACAGTTTTGAGATAAAAAAAACGCGCCCAAAGTAAAGAAGTTATAATTTAATTATTTGATAACTTATCAAATGAATCTAATGTTGTTAGATCTGATTCGTTCTGACCTCTTGAGACCCATTAATAAGATTTCTAAAAATTAAAACAAATAAACTTAATGGGTTGAATTTGAATAAGGCTTGAAAATCAAACGCAATTAATATGCTGTGAATCTGAATGATTAAAATTCAAATCTAAACAAATGAGGCCTAAAAGTTAAAAGTACATAAAATCTTCTTTTTCATTTATTTTATTTTATTTTTTTCGAATTTTGGTCTATGTTTTTTTTCCCCAAAGTCATTTTAATTCCAGATGGAAACTGTGCTTGTGAAGCTATTATCAGGATAGACATATTCATATACGTCCAAATACATTAACATGAAAATCAGACAGAAGACATTAAAAATTAGATACATTATCCATAAGCATATACAAGGCATTAAAAATTTAGATTTACGTTTCTGATTAAACTTTTAAATATACGATATAATTATTATATTTTTTATTGTTAAGAATCTATTTAAACTACTAAAAAAGATATCAAACATTAATCACCCCTCAAAGAAAACCAGTATATTGTAATATTTCATTATCAAATTTTTATTTTTTCTTGTATTCTCACCGACTTTTACATGAACCAAATAAATCATTACAGTGAGAAAAAAAGATCAACGAAATTTATTAGGGAACAGATAACAATGTTTGAATTTTCTTTAGTAGTGTTTAGGCCTAACTTCAACGCCTTCAATGACCAGTCCACTTTTTACATGGCATCCCTTCACCTCCTTTAAACTCACTGTAACTTCTTCATCTTCATCATCATCTCCACTGTTTAAAAATTCTCCTAACTCAATTTCCATCCATCCATCTTCCCTTTTATACGGCACTCTTTCATACCTCTGTTTTCCTTCCGGCAGATCTTTTTCGTCCTTCCGGTGATCTAGAGTCGCCGTGTGAACATCTTTCTGATTACCAATTTCTACACTAGTCTCAACCGGCACTGAACTCAGACCAAATGCACGATCTGTGATTTTCATTATGAAATAAATTCCATAATTCGTGTTTGCAGAAAGCATACTTGTCATCAGCTTTGCTTTTACTTCTAATTTGCATATCACTTTCAGTTCAGCCACTTTTGAGAACCTGTGAGAAAAAAGAAAAAGAAAAAACAGAGCATGTTAAATTTTTCAAGAATGTTAGAAAAGATTGAATTTTTTTTAATTTAGTTACTTGAATTATTGAATACCCATTATTTATAAGCTCAAATAAAAGGGAAATGAGTGATCAAAACCTTGATTCTGGCAGAGATTTCCAGGTCCAATGATCTGGTTCTTCCCCATATAAAAGGGACAATTCTCCAGCTGAGATTATAAATGATTTTTTTCCACTTGATTTCTCTAAGGCAAAGCTCTACAATTTATAACATCAAACAATTATAAGAATGAACCCTTTTAAAATGGAAGACTGAAAGATCAACTCATTTATATACATACCTTTTTACCACCATCAATGAGAATCGAATTACAGAGACGAATAAAAAGCTCTTTTTTAGAAGAATAGTTCAAGGGTATGACAGATTTGTCAATAATTTTATTATAATCAGAAGGCAATAATGTTTGCCAGACAAAATCAGATGCTGCCACTAATCGGAGAAAGGATGAAACCAAAGAGAAGCTAATTGTATCCTTAGGTGAAGTAAGAGAAAGAATTGAAGAAATACAATCTTCTGGTAATTCATTGAATACATCTTCCCCTACCATTATCTACTGTTTGCCTTTTTTGATGATTTGGGCTAATTTTTGTTGAAATTAGAGCGAGATTATTTGATAAATGTTGAATTTTGGTTGTTTTATATATATAGTGGAATAGTGTGCAACTTCGGAAAGTTACATTCATATTTGGATGAGTTGATGTTGCCTTAGTAATATGTGAAGGAGAATTATTTGTCTCTTTCAACCTCGTCAGATACACTTTTTATTATAAAATATCTACGGGCTGATATTTCAAACTTCCATCTGTTCTAGATATAGAATTTGTTTGTCCAGATATAAAATTAATATAGTTTTAAATTTGTTATTTAATTATTATTAATTTTTCTAATTGTGAATTGGTAGAGTTTAAACTTATAGTTTTAAACTAAAGAGCCGTAAAATGTAACAAAAATATTTTTTAATTTCATATGTTAAAATTTAGAAAAATAATTATTCTATTTTAAAATGGACTAAAAAATAAAGATATAAATTGAAAGATCAAGAAGTATTATTTTTAGATAGAGTTTTTTCTTTTAAAAAAAAAATTGTTATATAAGTTGTGTCATAAGTAGTAAAATACTAACTTAGTTATCATCCTTTGTTTTCCCTTTAATTAAAGATTTGTATTTGAATTTATTGAATCTATAGGAAAGGTTTTTGATAGAATTGAAATTTGATACTTCGAATGTCCATATTTAAAAAAAATTAAATTAACGTAAAATTATATATATATATATTTGTAATTTATCTTTTTTCGTATTAATTTTGAGAAACTTCACTTTAACTTGTCCTGCATCCTTCTTGCCGCTCATTCTTAAAATCTGCCCCACTCCACTCTCCATCCTATTGCCATCTCTTCTTAAAGGCTGAATCGTAGTACATTTTCACTTTCTTTCGTAAGGCCTCATTAAAGAGTATATAACATTAAAATTAGAGGAACTTTCCTTTGAAGTATGACCAACAAAACAACAAATTAAGAGCGTAGGTACAATAATTATTAACCAAATAGCAAAACAGCACAAAAGAGAAGGGAAGTTTCTGTGAAAAGAAACCGTGTGAATCTTTAAATTGCCAGTCAATTTTGGTTTCTCTTTAATTTTCATCATTTTTATTTGACTCCTACTATTCGAGGATGTCCACAAATACTAGTAACTATTTCAAAGGATAAAATTTACACATGTGTTTTTATTTATATATTATTACAAATTATAATGGTGAACTTTGTTTGTTTCTTGTTTAAAAATTTTTATTAGAAATTTACTTTGCTTAATCTATAAAAATTAAGAGATATTGTTTTTTCTGCATATTAACAATATAGAATAATTAGGTATATTACTATATAAGTTTAAAGTTTTAAAACATCATTAAAATATAAGACAGAGCAAATTATCATCAGCCACATTCTGCCAATTTTATTTAACTTATACACTCACATTTGTTATTTTATTTTTACATTATCAATTTATTTTAATCTATTACAGCAAATTATTTGTTTTAATTTACTGTGACTAGTTTAACTTATTTTGAATAGTTATAAATAACTATTGTCTAAATGATTTGGCAGTAACCTTTTTTTTTCCACTAGCATTGTTAAACTCTTAATTAACAACTTTTCAGTTGAAAAAGAAGGACATAAATAAAAGCATATGTTCGTTTACATACAAAAAAAAAATATACTCTGTATTTAGAAAATAATAATTTTAATCTATTCACACGACAAAAAACATTTAAAGCCACAAAATTAGTTAACTACAAAAGGTCTCATGTTTGCTTAGTGCTTAGGCCTTAACTGAATGCCTTCAATGATAAGGCCACCCTTAATATGACAGCCCTTCACCTCCATTAATTTCATTATGATCTCTTCATCACCATATCCTCCATTAAAGAACTCTCCAAGCTCTATTTCTAACCACCCATCTTCTCTTTCCCCAACCATTTTTTCCTCCCCTTTGTTCACTCTTGCTTTTAACGTTTCCACTCTGTTTCTGTAAAACAGAGACTCTAGCTTCTTGCTCCTTGGGTGCCGTAGATACACACTACTGTTGACGGGTTCTTGATCCCCGACTATAATACTGACCTCTGATGGAATTGAATCCAACCCGAATGATCGATCTGAAATCTTCATGAGTAGATAAGCTCCGTATGTTGTGTTTGGAGATAGATCCCCTGTTTTCATCTTCCCCTCTATTTCCAGTCTGCATATTGTTTTCAGTTCAGCTACCTCTGCAAACCTGTAAAACCATTAGTATTCAAAATTCCTATTTAGCATTCAATTACAATTGAAAGAAAATAAATTATCTTTGGGCTAAATTACATGTTAAAGAATGAAAATCTGAACAATTCTTTTTTTATATGGGTTAACTTTTGAGATGGAACAGATTTATCTTACCCCAAAATAAATAATTACCTATTCACCATATGATAATTACGGGACATGAGATGAGGTATTAAAAAATGATAAAAAATTTCACTTCTATGCATTTTATAGTTTTTCTAACCCTGAACATAATATAAAATCATCATAATTTATTGATAAATAATTTTTCAATGGGTAACGAATAAAAAGAAAGTGGGGTTAATAATATGACTAGTAGATAAATAGAAAAATTATGAATTATAGGTTATATGAATAACGAGGCATACCCTAAGTTAAAATAATGAGTAGATAGTTAGTTAAAAGGTAATCAGAGTTATTAAAACACCAATGACCACACTCTGTCGCAATGATGGTGAAAGATGAATATAATTAAAAGACATGACAGCACATTCAATTTTGTAATATTAGAATGCTACATTCAACAAGCATCACTAAAAAAGTATGTCTAGTGATTGCGTGGGATTCGAAGAGAATGTAGAATTAACATAAAAGCGAAAGAAAAAATATACGTAATAATAAAAGATAAAATCAAAATAAGAAAACAATTTTAAAAAAATAATATCATTTAAACCGCGCGCGATTAATATTTTACTTAGATTATCGACCTCCCTAATCTCTTATCGAACTTTTATATTTAATGACGGTAAGAGGGAAATGCTTTAAAAAGAAGGGAATTTAATTACCTTGATTCTGGAATAGCTTTCCAGTTCCAGTGAGTTAGTTCATCTCCATATAAAATAGAGAGCTCTTTTGCAGACATGAGATATGACTTTTTCCCCGTTACTTTATCCAAAGCAAAGCTCTGAAAAATGAAAATTAAATAAATAGGGATATAATTTAAGTTTTGTACACTGACGATATATAAGAATTGAGATATGATTCCTAAGTGTTACCTTGTTGCCATCGTCTATTAGAATGGAATTGCACAGGCATATAAAAAGGTGTCTTTTTGAAGAAAACTTCAAAGGCGTGACTGATTTTGTAGCAATATGTTGCCAATCAGAAGGCAAGAAAGCATCCCAAACACAATCCAACTCTGCGACTGACCGGAAAATTGAAGAAACCTGTGACAATTTTAGTGCATCAGGTGGAGAAGTGAGACATATTATGCTACTAATACAATCTTCTGGCAGATCATATAAGTGCTCCATTGTTGTAACAACCAATTGAAGTAATCAAATAAATATAGATATTTCAAAAGTGAGTATAATAAATATAGAGAGAGATAGGGGTACGAAATCACGGAGCAGGTCCTTAGGTAGAAGTTTCCTTATATAATTCACTTCACCTGGTAAGTCACATGCTTTCGTTCTCTCGTGTCTTAATTTGATTGAGTATAAAAATAAAATAAAATTTTATAATTTTAAATTAAATACGTATATCTTAAATTTGTTTAATATTGAAATTGAAAAACTAAAAAAAATGTAAAAGTAAGAAAGATTAGAACGGAGAAAGCTGGTCTACTATGGGTAGTCATAAAAAAGGCTATTCGCATGACATGTCCAAAGTGGTCAAATTCCACCGATGACTTCAACATTGCAAATTGGTCAACTTCTGTGTCATTAACAATTTTCTTTGAAATTAACAATGCAAACCCAATGTTACAGTTGGAATCTCAATTTGTTCATTAATGATGACTACTGGTAAAGATAAAATCACGTGTATACACACATCAACTAGTCTTTCTTTAATCCACATATGGAAAAAGTGTTCAATTTGGGTTGTTATAGGACTTTTCAAAATATTTAAAATTTTAACTAACTAAAAAAAGTGTAATATTATAAAAAAAATCCGTTTGTAGGACTTCTCTATCGGATTTTAAAAGAAGACAAAGCTATTTAATGCATACACAAATTGATAGATTTAGAGTCCGTTTGGATCAACTTAAAAAAGATGATTTTTTTAAATTGTTGAAAATTATTTTAAAAATAAATAGTTATGTGTTTGATTAAAAGCGTTACCATTGAAAAAAATTGTTAATGTATTTGACCAATAAGTATTGTTAACACCAATTTTTAAAATCAAATGTATGAAATACCTTTATAATTGTTAACATAATAATAAGTTGATTAATATAATATTTTTATTTCTAAGAAAAATTTAAACAAAATTGATTTATATTTTAATTCAATTTCAATAACTTAATGTTTAAATTAATTTTAAATGTACAAATTATTTTAAATTTCAAAAATATACAGTTTGAATACATCACATAAAAGAATTTTGAAAATTATTCAAAATAATTAAGGGTAATAAAATAATATATTTGATCAAATTATAACGACTTTTAATTTAAAATAAAAAGTAAAAATCACCCTACTTTTAATTTTAGGCTTATTCTAAATCACTTTAAATTTATTTTATATTATTTTTATATTATCAAACACTTTTATAAATTAAAAATTAACTTTCAAAGTCAATTTAATAAATTTAAATGTCTATTCAAAGGGACATTTAATTGGTGTGCGCTATAGGACTGCCACTTGAACCAGTTGGACAAATTACTTGCTTTCAATCTTATACTACCACTGAAAACGAAAGAAGAAGGACATGTACAATTTGACAGAGGCCCCCCCCCCCACCCCCAACTCTTTTTTTTGTTTGGATCTAGCTTTTTATGTATTTCGATTAATTTTATGGAATGTATATATTTTTTTATCTCTAAAAGCTAGGATCTATGTAAAGAATTAACTAGTCCTTTTTATTTTAGCTGAATTTTGAATCTGTTACTTTTTTTTTTGGAAAAGTTACCTAAACACACAACATATTTTATTGTATTTTTAAAAAAATTCTACTGTTTGAAAAAAAATATTAAAAATTCCTATTTTACATGATGTTTCATCGGATATATCACTTTACATGATGTATAGGGATGTACGATGAATCAGTATATTACTTTATGCGATGTATTAATCAAACACATCACTTTTACGTGATTTATTTATCGAATACATCACTTTATGCTAAGTATCGGGACGTAAGCAATGACGTTGAGTAATTTTTTCAAAATCAAGACACGATGTATTCAAAATCAAAATATGATATATTAGGACGTTTTGGATGCATCCTAATTTCACCATATATTGAAACTCTTTCAAAATCATAATGGATGATTTTCTCTATTTATAAGGTTTGCGAAATGTGTGCCATATTACACTTTCTTTTCATTTTTATGTGTATATTCATTCTCATTACACAAAGTTATTATATACGAATTTGCCTGCTTGAATCGTATATAGTATTGTTTGTACATTTGATTATTATATACTAAAGTGATCAAGGTATTTGTGTAGTTATTCATATTTTAAGTTTTTTTTTTTAATTTTATATTCAACTAGTTATATATGTATATAGATAATTAGTTTTAAAAATCTTGTACAATTATTTTTATGATAATTTGTTTTAAATCATAATATTTTTGTATTTTACGTTATTATATACAAACTATTTAAGGGATTTGTGTATATACAAGTACTATTTTCATATTTTGATTTATACATATACAATTACTTGTATGTGTATATAATAATTACTTTACAATTTGATTTAAATCAAACAATTTATATTCATTTTATTTGCATTCGTATATAAACTTTATTTGTACATATACAATTTTTTGTATATTCAACTAGTTATATATGTAAATAAGTAATTACTTTTAAAAAATCTGATACAATTATTTGTTTATAGTTACATTTTTTTTGTATTTTACGTTATTATATACAAAACTGCTCGAGGGATTTGTGTATATACAAGTACTATATTCACATTTTTATTTATACATATACAATTACTTGTATATGTATATAATAATTATTTTACAATTTGGTACAAATCAAACAATTTATATTCATTTTATTTACATTCGTATATAAACTTTATATACATTAAAGAGTTTAGTTTCCTTGAACAAGTTTGTATGGTCATTCTGTCGCTTTAGAATTCTTCTTTGGTAAAATATTTGATTTAACTTAAATCATGAGATTTTGTAAATATTTGTTACCGTATTTAACTCTACTATTACTAGTCACTGAAAAAGTAAAATATTTTATATATATAGAAAAACTATTTTGTTTGAAAAAAAGAAACTCTTATACAAATAAAAATTTACATAACAAACTAAACTATACCATAATTATTTGGATAAATTACTTAAATACACACTTTTATTTTTTATAATTTTCATTATTCCCTACTATTTTAAAATATCTCCAAAATCCCTTATTTTCCTTTCAAATCCCATTGTTCTAGATACATTAAGTTTCACATTCAAGCACACGTTTCTATTCCTAATTTCACTCCCTTAATCCCTCCCTGTTTCACTCCCTTTAACCTCTTCCTATTTTCACTCCCTCAATCTTTACTTCTTTTATTTTTTAATTTTCAGATTTATTCTCTCTCCATGAGATTTTTCAAGAATCAAGTAAGTTTTCGTTTCACAATTTTTTTCGAAGAACTACTAGATCTCCTCCATTTTCACATTTTTACAAAATATATAAGGAAAAAGTGAAAGAGATGATGTATCCTCATTGCTTCTTGCAACATCATCGTTTCCAGTGACGTCTTTTGTTGATGAAATCTTTTTCCATTGTTGACAGTGAGACAAAGATACAGAAGTTGGTATAGAGCAAAGTAAAAGTGTAGGGGGATTTCTTGGTCATTTGTATTGTTGATTTATTTTTTTGTACTTCATCCTTTATAATACATATGATTTCATATTTAATATATCTAGTTGATTTTGTTTCTTAAACTAATGTATAATGCCTTCGTTGATTTTAAATGTAACTCGTTGTTTAATCGATGTACTGATACATGTATTAGATATGTACCAAATGTTATAACGTTTAGTCAATGCACTGATACATGTAGTATA